TGATCCTGATGATATCTGAAATACTGATGACACAGCTTCTAGCATCACAGCAACATGCAAGACAAACTGACAGATGAGTGGTGGGAGGCAAAACTAACGTGACTTTACTAAGTATAGTAGTTTCACAAATTGAACAAATGTCTAATTTTCTTTCAGTCAAAAGAATAACATTGTTTTACTTGAGATGATCACTTTTATATTTTATATCATGTGTTATATTTTTATAATATAAAGGCAGAGGAAGCTGTATATATATGAAAGTACCTTGTAGATGGCAGTAACTGATTTTCAAATACAAGCATGCATAGCTAATGTCTTTTCAGACAATGTCTGACTGCACATACATCTGTCCATGATTCCATAAAGTTGTTGTTTTTAAAGAGAAAGCAGCTCCCCTTTTGTTGATTATTTTCCCTAATAGTTTTAAAGACCTGAAATCCAGATTCTTGCAGCACTGGACCAGGGGCAGGATGCTGGAAGGTGAGGCAAAGGACATGGCTCTAGGCTTGGGCTCTCAGGATTTGTCTGGCAGGCTGGCAGCAGGGGCTGTGGTGCTGGGCTGCTCCTGCTGCTCAGGCAAGAACAACATCACATAGGGCAAGGTACTGCTCTGCTCCCTCCCTGCTTTCTTTCTCTCACTCTCACTGCTGCCACCAGTTCCTCTAGCCTCTGCCACCAGCTCCAGCAGTGGTGATGAGGACGACTGGACACGGGCTCCCACAAGGTTTTAATCTGGTATTTGCACAACGTAAAAATCACATAATGTCCTATTTCACAGAACATATTGTAGATGTTAAGCAATGCATACTTTCCATCATTTTTCACTATTTTAAGTAAGCAATTTGTTTTCTAGCTTAAACCAATCTCCAAAGCAAGGGCTAATATGGAATATTTATTTATTTATGTTAAAGCAGTTGTTGTTATTGTTGTTGTTGTTGTTATGTGCCAACAAGTGGAGTTAGCTTTTGGAAATCATGATTTTAAAAAACAAACCTATAAAATTTAATTTATTCTCTCCGTTCTATACCAGCCTGAAGTTTTGGCACTGTCTAATCAGTTCTACTTTGTTATCATAATAACAATAATGGTGACAATATTAGACACCGTAATCACTGAATTTTACATTTCTTATCTCATTGTCTTCAGCAATCATTTCATATATTAGGGAATATACTGGAAAAGATAGCATTCATTTTATATTTCCTAATATTTAAATATAAATTTAGGAAACTGGTTTATCTATCAAAGCTGACAGTTATTTAGCATAACAGCCAAACAGAAACTCTATATAATCTTCCCATGAACTAGCTTAAAGGTAAAGGTAAGTAAGGAGTCAAGAAACAGCAAAAAGAAAGAATTAAATAGATCCTTAACAGATAAAGCAGAATAGGAAGAAGAGTAAATTACATCCTTGAAAATATTCTTACACATAAAAAAGTCAAGCCATATGTGTTCAAACAATGAGCCCATTCAATTTTCTTCCTTCTTTCAGCATTACTAATACTGTCCAAGCCATAACAATTTAAATTTCAGCATTATATTTTAAAATTTCCTAACAGTTCAAAATTTGCATAAAAGTAAAGAATATAGTTTAATACCCACTGCCCAGTTTAAACAATTAAAAAGATTTTTCCATATTTGATTCATTTATATATTTTTTATTTGCTGAACTACTTCAAAGTAATCTGAGACATCCTATAATTTCACAACTCTACATTAATATTTCTTAATATTTTTTTGTCTCAGCATCACCCCCACATGCAATCAGTATTAAATTCTATTGATTACTCCTCTAAATGTGTCTCAGAAATTAGAAAACAAAATATTTAAGGTGGTGTGGTAGATTGATTCCAAAAATGTCCTCTGTGTCCATGTTCTTACAATGTGACTTATATTAGGAAATGAAGTCTAGTTCCCCACATCTTATACCCAGGCTAACCTTATGATTTGTTTTGGCCAACACAGTGTGGAAGAGGTGACAAGTGTGCCATATCCAAACACAGATTGTAAGTGGTCTTCCTAACGTAGTTTCACTATGTCTTTGGACCCCTGCCTCCCCCTTGAGAACAAGTTAAAAGGATAATAGATGGTTTAAAAAAAAAAAGAGCTGAGTCAGTTCAGATAAGATGCATCATTTAGCATCTAGCAAACTGGTCAGCCGCTGTGAATTCATAAACAAGCCCAGTAAATACTAGCCAAGCCAGCCCAGATCAACAAGAACCATTCTGCTTATCTACACACTTGTGAGCAAAAATAAATGTTTATTATTGCAGTGCCACTGAGTTTGGTATTAGCTGTATTATTTCACAATATATAAATAATACATTAATTGGTACCTAGAAGTGGTATGCATCATAACAAGAACTTAGAATATGTGGCATTGACTCTGAGCCCTAAGTAATAGTTACTGAAGCTATAAAAATGAGGAGGAAACTACAGCAGACTAAAAAATGGTAACTCATGTTATGGTAATAAATTTTTTTTGTAACTATGTGGAGTACAATAAAGAAGTTAAAAAATGTACTGAAAAAACTTTTAGACTTGAGTAAGCTAATTTCCAGGCAAAATGCTGAACATGTCAACTAACTGTAGCTAGGTAAGTATGATAAGGTACATCAAAAAAGAGATAAGCTAAAGAAAGGACTAGTCTTTTTATAAGCAGAATTTAGAGGGAATATAGAAGGACCGGGACTTGCTGGGTTAGAAAACAAAAATTTTTATTTTTCCCTATCTAAAGATTTTCAGAATAGAATGAAATGAATGAACAAACATCAAATCAATGAGTGGCTCTCAAGTTCCTTTGTTAAGATCTCTAAATGAATTAAGTTAATGTTTCACAAAAGGAAGGTGCTCTAGTGGTATTGTAAATAAAGCCTGGGCTGCTAACAAAAAGGTTAGTGGTTCAAACCCATCATACTACCTACAGGAGGAAGATGAGGCAGTTTGCCTCCATAAAGATTTACAGCCTTGGAAACCCTAAAGGGTAGTTCTGCTCTGTTCTATAGGATCACTATGAGTCAGGATCAATTTGATGGCAGTGGGTTTGTGTTTTGGTTTTGACAAAAGAGCTTTTAGAAAGTTTAAGGGCACAATTCCACAGAATTCTGATCTGGACTCATAGTGACCCCTCCTTGGGTGACCAAAGTGGTATCTCTATGGAAGTAGATTGCCCAACCTTTCTTCCGGGAAGTGGCTGGTGGGTTTGAACCGCCAGCCTTCTGGTTAGCAGTCAAATGCCTTAGGCATTATGCCACCAGAGCTCCCAATGCCCGAGTAGTAGTAAAGTTATCAAGTAGTAGTGATTATATTTAGAAAGCCAGAAAGTATCAAAAAACAATTGTGGGTATGGGTTTTAGAGCACAGAATGGACTTTACCAGACACATAGAAAGCCCGCAATTTTTTTTTAAGTGAGTAATACTGGCAAAACAGAAACCAGCCTGTACTCCTGGCTTGGCTTGTGACTTGCTTAGACAACAGAATATAGTGGAAGTAATTAGTGTGCCAGTTCATGGGGCTTTCTTCACCCTCTGCTCTCTTTCTTAAATCCTTGTTTCTGCCATGGGAATAAAACCCAGGCTGGCCCGCTGAGAAATGATGAGACTAAGACTAAGTAAAGCAGAGCAGAAGAGAGCAGAGCAGTTTTTATTTTTTCAACAAGGTGGTAAAGCAAAGCCAGAAAAACAATACAAAGTCTCTCATTCATCCCCTTGTGTGGGTCATAGCTCACTATCACTACTCTTAATATAAAACCTTTGGGTTTTGTATCTTGGGTTACCGTAAGTCCCTATTAACTATTCCCTAAGGAGCTGTGGTGCAGTATAGCGACCCCTACTTGGGTTTCCGAGGTGGTATCTCTACGGAAGTAGATTGCCCAGTCTGCCTTTCAAGGAGTGGCTAGTGGGTTTGAACCACCAGCCTTCTGGTTAGCAGTCAAATGCCTTAGGCACTACACCACCAGAGCACCTTTGGCATAGTGCCTAAGGCATTTGACTGCTAACCAGAAGGCTGGTGGTTCAAACTGCAGCCATTCCTTGGAAGGAAGACTGGGAAATTTACTTTCTTAGAGATACCACCTCAGAAACCCAAGGAGGGGTTGCTATGAGTCAGAATCAACTCGACAGCAGTGATTTTGATTTGGTTTATACCTCTCTATCTCCCACTCAATCATCAATCTAGTATATTACAATGTTCATAAAAGCTCATTGTGATAATAATGATAATTTTATTCTTAACTTAGAAACCACCAATGGTTACTCATATACCTTATGCTGACTCTTCTCTGGACATAACAAACATACCCACCTCTCATTTCTTTACTACCTTATCTTCTGCTATTCTCCTAGAGAATATCCAGCCTCCTAAATATTCTTGAAAATAATGTGGCCATTCCTATGTAGATTTGATTCATGCTGCTTTCTCCTACTAAAAGGATTTTTCCCTTTATTCTCTGCTTATTCAAGTCTTATGTTACTCTGATCCTGTCCATCCCTAATGCCTGTCCTAACATACTAACCCACAATGATGCTCTTTTGCTTTAATTCCTAGAGTACTTTTTATGTATACTTAACAGAACTTCGTTATATACATTTTGTGTGCCTACTTAGCAGTTTTGTTTGTGTCTTTTATTTCCCCACATTACACTATAAGCTTTTAAAGAATACAGACAAATCTTAAATATTTTCATTAAAGTCCTCAGTACTCAGCACAGTGAAATTCATAAACATGTATTAAGTATATCCAACATCATCATTAAATCCATATGAATAATGCTCCAGTACCTACTTACACATTAAATTTATCTGAGAAATGGCACATAACAACAAACAACACAATTATTGAATTATATATATAATAATTATCTGAGAAATAATTTTTTTAATATAACTCATTGTTTTATCACTCCTTATATCTGCTGGGACAAAAGCATGTAAATAAATTTAAATAAAAACTGTATGTCTTGTCTTATGCAAAATACATAATTTTCAATTAAAATACACACCCTCTCTGAAATAAATCCACATTGTAGAACTTGTTTAGCTCCACGGAGAATTCTACCATTGCTTGAACTTCAGTCATTTTTAACTGATACCCAGAAGACAAATCTGGTAACAGCACCTTGGTTAAAGGAGGAGGAGAAAATCCTAAGAAACAAAAAAAAGTCAATTTACAAAAACACTAATAGTTAAACATATGTCAGAGTACTATACACAGACATAAGATAAAAATGAAGCAAATTAGTTCAATGTACCTAGCTTACCCTAGAGGGCACCTGGAGGTGCAGTGGTTAAAGTACTCATTGCTAACTGAAAGATTCACAGTTCAAACCTACCAGCTGCTCTACAGGAGAATGTGGCAGTCTGCTTCTATCAAGATTTACAGCCTTAAAAATCCTATGGGGCAGTTCTATTCCATCCTATAGGGTCATTAAGAGTTAGAACCAGTGAGTTTGTTTGTTTGTTTTGGTTTAACTTGGCCTAACTCATCTAAATAGCATCAGAATCTGCACTAAATAGCACTACCCTCTATAATTAAGGAGGGGTCACTATGAGCCGGGGCTGACTCGATGGCACATAACAACAACAACTATAATTAAGATTTGTCCTGTTACAATGCTTTTCCTAATATTTGTTTCCCTTGTTGACATCCATATAATTATAAAAATACAGCAACTTACTAAAAGAATCTCTTGGCTTTATCAATCACAGACAACATAAAAACCTTTCTTTTTTTTAAATAAAGTTACAAAATTATCTCGGCTAGTTCTACATTGCACATAAAGGCAAGTCCAGAGTCAAAAAGCTAATTAACATTTGTGGTAGTTAAGGCTGTGTGTCAACTTGGCTGGGCCTGGTTGAGTGGCTGGGCAGCTGGTGGTAGTTATTCTCCATGAAGAGACTGGCAATCAACTCCATGGTGGGGCCTACCACAAGCAGCTGAGTAGCTGTTTTGGAGATGCTTAGGGAATGGTCTCTAGCTTATGGTACATTTGAATCCTGCATGTAACTGTGTCATTGTTCAGCAGCCTGCCATGCTCTGTTGACTTTGGGACTTACAATGGACTTGAATTAATGGCCTGTCGTGTGGTTTAATAACATTGGGACTGTGCCTTTTCACTTGTCAACCTTGAGTTTGTCAGCTTTAGTAGCTAGCAGCTGCCTGAGTGGAGAGATGTCTCTAGCTTCATTCAGTGGGCCGGGAGCAAGAGGTAGAGTCGAGCGGCTTTCACACAGCCCCTAGAGCCTGGCACTAGGTAACCAGAACAACATTCCATAATCCCCATTTAGATTCATGAAATATTTTTCTGTTAGGTGAAAAAATAGTTCTTAAATAACTTTCATTTTTAAATTAAAAAGAGAAAAGAATTTTTTCACTCATTACAAAAGCATTAAGTGTTCATTTTCGAAGGGGTTAAATAAACACAACAAAAAATACAGATAAGCAAAAAAAGAAAACATCTACAATTCTATTCACTGAAATAGACACTTTGGTATATACTCTTCATATGTGTGTACATTTGTACAAAAAGTGGGATCAAATTACATGTATATTTTATATGTGCTTAATTTTTAAATGAACATCTAATATCAATAAATGTAATTTCACATTATTTTCTATTTTTTTTGACATAGAGTTTCATGAATCTTTTTTTTATTTTATTGTGATTTAGGTGAAAGTTTACACAGCAAATTCATTTTTCATAGAGCAGTTCATACACTTTTTGTTTCATGACACTGACTGCAATTCCCCACAATGTAACAGCTCTCTTTCCACTTCCTTCCTGTAGTTACAGTCTTCCCTATGTCCTTCCCTCCCACTCACCGCCCCTTGCCCCACCAGCTACCTCCCTGTGCAAACAATGCCCTTCTTTTCTCCTACTACTGATCGCTCCAAAGAGTTTCTCCATCTGATGTAAATGTCCACTCCATATGCCTGTGTATTGTTTGCCTGGAAGCCATAGGAGTGAGTTCAGTTCCAGACCTGAAGAGTAAGTAGGGGCCATAGTCTTTCCAGGCTCCATCAGACGAGCAAACCTGGTCTTCTTTTTTATGATTTTGAGTTTTGTTCCACATTGTTCTCCCATTCTATCCAGGACCAATTGTATCAATTAACTATGACACTATGAACATATTATAATTTGAATAACCTCTTGTTGGATATTTACATGCTTTCTATATTAATCACTATTTTTAAAAAAGCTTGGCAATGATCATCCTTACCAATAACACATATTTTAAAAAGCAATTTAGAATAAGAAAGTTTTCCATGGATCTTTCATCTTTTCACTTATCTCACAAGCACTCTCTTCTAGACTCTCTTTACCAAAACGTTAGTACAGCAACTCTCTTAGAAGACCATGTCTTATTCTAATACAAAGGTTAGATTGATTTACTGCCCCATATAATAAGGATAAAGTCTCCCTCCAAAGCAAAGGTCAGGTAGACTTATTGTCTATTAAAAAGATGTAGGTTCCCTTAGTTCAGGGTTCACTCACTGCCAATGAGTTGATCCCAACTCATAGTGACCCCCATTAGGTATTTGAGGCTATAAATCTTTATGGAAGTAGAATGCCCCATCTTCCTTCCATAATGTGGCTGGTGGGTTTAAACTGCTGATTAGCTGCCAAATGCCTTACCCACTACACCACCAGAGCTCCTTTTAGTTCAGGGTTACTCTCCTGTAATAAAATCTAACTATAAGCAGGTATTGCTTGGCATTCTTTCCACAGCCCCATAGGAAAAGGGGCTTGGGGAACCAGCGCAAATCTGACTACTCTGGCTACTACTATTGCTGCCGCACAGGGTTTCCAAGACTGTAAATCTTTATAGAAGCAGACTGCCATATTCTCCTGTGGAGCAGCTGGTAGGTTTGAATTGTCAATCTTTCAGTTAGCATACTTGTTTTTGATACAGCAATCTCATGTCTTCTGCCAACATCCATGGCACTGTAGCAGGCTTGTTGTTAAGTGGGACATAATCTCAGACCCTTCTTAGTCCTTGTAACAGCTCTTCACAGCAATTAGGGAAATATTCTGATCTACTATGAATTACATGCAAAAGAAATGCCATAATCTTACCTCAGCTGATCAAAACTTCATTTTAACATTATTAAACAACCAATCTTGTACTTCCAGTTACTGATTCTTGTTGTTAAAAATATATTGGTCTTCCTGCAAGGAAAAAAAGTAACATCTCAAAATAGTAGACATAAAAAGTCTATTTCAAGGAAACTTAGGGTTTGTTAGTTACTTTATAGTCTCAATTTATCTAAAAGATCTATATCCTCCATAAGCATAAATTCTGGAGATCTATTTTCATTCACAGTCTAATATCCATATTAAGAGTACTTTCTTAGTGGCTCAGAAGCAATCTTCACAGACACCCAAAACATTAGCTTATTAATTTAGGCTATAGAAATTATCCTTTCCAAATGGCTGAGTAGGTGATTTCTTTGTGTGTGTGTATATGTGTGTGTACATATACATGTGTGTGTGTGACTCATAGAGACCTCTCCTTGGGTTTCCAAGGGGGTATCTCTACAGACTGCCAGTCTTCTTTCCGAGGAGTGGTTGGTGGGTTTGAACTGCCAGCCTTCTAGCTAGCAGTCAAATGCATATATATTTGTTGTTGTTGTTAGGCTCCAACTCATAGCACCCTAGGCACAACAGAACAAAATGCTGCCTGGTCATGCACCATCCTCATAATCCTTGCTATACTTAAACCCATTGCTGCAGCTACTGTATGTATGTATATATGTACATATACACACATATATATCTATTTTAATAATGCTATGGGCCATTTCAAATATCTTGATAAAAAAGTATTACCTAGTTTTTCTCACATTTCAAATATTGCTTACATTTTTAAAAATAGTATCTTTTGCCCTTGGTATAATTATTTTGGGTACTGAAAATGTTAGCATAAAGACCTTGTTCACTCTTCTACATAGATTGTTTTCCTTTTTCTCCACAACATAATTCTCATTTCTAACTACCATAGCTGCTACTTTAAATGTTAATAATCATATCAAAATATTTCATAGTAATAAAATATTTCTAAGGAAGAGCCTGGCACAAGACTGGTCAGTGTTTTGTTCGGTTGTACATAAGGTCACTATGAGTCAGAACCAACTCGACAGCACCTAACAACAACAAAGGAAAAGGGAGCTCTGGTGGGATAGTGGTTAAAGGATTGGGCTGCTAACTTAAAGGTGGGAGGTTCAAACCCACCAGCCGCTCTGCAAGAGAAAGACGAGGCATTCTGCTTCCATAAAGATTTATAGCTTTGGAAACCCTATGGGTTTCTACTCTGTTCTACAGGGTCACTGTGAGTCAGTATCGACTCAATGGCAGTCCCCACCCCCAGAAGATCAAATCAATGTTTTATATGATATTCCCTATTTCATGAAAATAACATTTTATCTAATATAGTTTCTCCTGTACATATATATATTCAGGAGCTCTGGTGGCACAGTACCTAAGGCATTTGACTGCTAACCAGAAAAGGCTGGCGGTTCAAACTTACCAGCCAAGGAGGGGTCGCTGTGAGTCAGAATTACTTGATGGCAATGAGTTTGTTTTTTTGTACATATATTCAAGGAGCTCTGGTGGTACAGTGCCTAAGGCAACTGACTGCTAACCAGAAGGTTGGCAGTTCAAACCCACCACCCACTCCACAGAAGGAAGACAGGGCAATCTACTTCCATAAAGATTTACCGCCTTGCAAACACAATGGGAGTCGCTACGAGTTGGAAGTGACTCGATGGCAGTGAGTTTGGTTTTGGTTTCGTACATATGTTTTGTCAAAACGAAAACCAAACCCAAACCCACTGCCATGGAGTCAGACCCAACTCATAGCAACCCCTCCTTGGGTTTCCGAGGCGGTATCATTATGGAAGTAAATTGCCCAACCTTCCTTCCAATGTTTTGTCAGGTGCGGTTTAAATCATGTTGTAGTGAAATGAGTTCCCTTATGTGGCCTCTTGCTTTCCTCCTGTGGAAAAATAACTTGAGAATTCTTTTCCCCTAAGCCCCAAAGAGTTATCTTTGTCCTAGTTTCTACCCCAGATAGTTTGTTACATATGTCCAGGTT